GGTATTAGTCAATAGTTTTCTATTATAATGTCACTGTTGGATTTTGTTATGAAGATAATGTGAGCTTCATGAAATGACCTAGAAAGGTTTCACTTCTATATTTTGAAAACTTTGTGTAGAATGAAAATTATTTTCTCCTTCAATGTTTGGCTAGAGTTTTCCAGTAAAGCCATCTTCCCCTAGATTTTCTTTCTTAGGTTTTTATCTATAAATTCAACTTCTTTGGAAGATATAGGACTATTTGGGTTGTCTACTTCTTGTGTATGCTTTGATAATTTGTGTTTTTCAAGAAATTTGTATATTTTGTTTAAATTGTCAGATGTATAGACATAGAGGTGGTCCTAATATTTATGGGGACCTCAACACCTGCAAACCATGCAGTGGGTCCACATTCTGGGACTGCTGCTCCTGGTGGTAGGCAACAGGTATCACTTCCTTGACATAGTGATTAATTATATCAATTACTTAATTCCATTTGGGTCAGAGAACATAGTTTGCATGACTTTACTTCTTTTAAACTTAGTATGGCTTGTTTTATGGCTCAGAATATGATTTATCTTGGTGAATGTTCCAAATGCACTTGAAAGGAATGTGTATTCAACCACTGCTGGATGAAATGTTCTCTAGGTGGCAAAAAGGTCAAGTTGGGTGATAGTGTTGTTCAAGTCTTCTATTTCCTTATTGATTTTATGTCACCTTGTTTTATCAATTACTAAGAGAACTGTTGAGTTCTCTAACTATACTTGTGGTTTTCTATCAGTTTTTGCTTTATGAATCTTGAAGCTCTGTGTTAAGTGAGTATACATTTAGGATTGCATGTCTTCCTGCTGTATCCCTGCTAATACTCCTTGTGTGAACACTTTGTTGATGTTAATATAGCTAGTCAAGCTTTCTTTTCACTAGTTTTAGCATAGCATACCTTTTTCCATCCTTAATCTTTTAACCTACTTATTTCTTTATATTTAAAAACGGTTTCTTGTAGAAAACATAGCATATACAGTCATGTGCCGCATAATGATGTTTTGGTCAAAAACGAACCACATATATGACAGTGGTTCCATAAGATTAGTATCATATAGCCTAGGTGCATAGTAGGCTATACCATCTAGATTTGTGTAGGTACACTCTGTGGTGTTTGCGTAATGACGAAACCGCCTAATGACATATTTCTCGGAATGTATCCCCATTGTTAAGCAATGACTGTAGTTGGGTCTTGCTTTTTTATCCAATCTGACAATCTCTGTTTTAAGTGGTGTGTTTAGAACATTTACATTTAATGTAATTATTGATATCACTGCATTTGAACCTACCATCATGCTAATTGTCTCCTATTTGTACCACGTGTTATTTATTCAATTGTCCTGTCTGCTTCTGAATATTTTTTATGACTCCATTTTATCTCCACTACTGGCTTGTTAGTTATATCCCACTTAAAATTTTTTTTGAATGGTTGCTCTAGGGCTTACATGTCTATAATTTTTCAGTCTACCTTCTAATAATATCATGCCAATTCATGCAGTGTATGACAGCATACTTCCAATTTCTCTCTGCTCATTAGTGGTATTGTTACATTTTACTTTTATATATGCTATAAACTCACAAAACTTTGCTCCTATTTTTGCTTTAGTGAATTATATTTTCAAGTGATTAAGAAAAATTATATTTACCTCCATTTTAACCATTTTCAAAGTTCCTTATTTCTTTTGGTAGATCCAAGTCTATTTCTGGTATGATATTCTTCCTGCCTGTAGAAATTCCTTTAATATTCCTTGTAGTGCAGATCTGCTGGTAGTGAACTCTATTGGCTTTTGTTCATCTGAGAATGCCTTTATTTTGCATACTTTTTTGAAAGATTTTTTTTCTTTGGGTTTGAAATTTTTTAACAGTATTTTGTTTCAGAATGTTAAAGATATCACTCCATTGTCTTCTGGTTTGCATGGTTTTTGATGAGAAGTCTGCTCTTTTTCTCATCTGTTCCTTGTATGTAATGTGTCTTTTTTCTCTGTTTTCCATTAATATTTCCTCTGCATTGTTCATTTTCAGCTGTCTGGCAATAATGTGTCTAGTTTTGTTTGTTTTTTATTGCTGCTTAGGTTCTTGGATCTGGGTGAAGTCTTTTTTATTTTTGGAAAATCTCAGCCAATATCTCTTCAAATATTTTTCTTCTCATTCTCTCTCTCCTCTCCCCCTAGATTTCCAATTATACATCTATTAGACCATAAAAAGTTTCCCCACAGTTCTTGGATACTCTATTTTGTTTTCTTCACACTTTCCGTGTTTTAGTTTGGATGATTTCGATTGACCTATATCCAAGTTCTCTGACACTTTTCTCAGCTGTGTTGAGCCTACTTATGAGTCCTTCAAAAGCATCTTTTGTGATACATTTTAATTTTTAGCATTTCCCATTTGATTCTTTATTAATTTCCACTGAAATTCCCCCATCTGTTCATGTATATTGTCTGCCCTTTTCACGAGAGCATTTAACACATCAATTGGTTATACAAAATTCTGTTTGACATTTCCAAAATATGGTAATTTCTAAGTGTGGTTTTATTGATTAGTCTGCTCTCTCTTGGCATCAGTCTGCTGTTTCTAAGCAGACTTTTTTTTTTTTAACTTGTGATTTTTTATTAAATGTCATGTAACATGTCAAACAGTAGGGATTAAATAGTATTTTTGCCTGAAACTGGGCACACCTGTTCTACTAGGATGTTAGGGTGGGGTGTTGAATCCATCTGGTCAGGAATGGGATCCTGGTGTTGCCATAGGTGTCTTTGGTACGCCACTTCAAATTGTTCTAACGTTGCCTTGTGCTTAGTGTGGGAGCTGAAGAGCTGGAGGATTTTTCTCAACGTTCCTGCTCCACCGTCAGCTTTTGGCACCCCCACACACTTGTGCCACAGGACTCTCTGTCCACGCTCTTGCTATTTTCCCAATGCAGCCTCTGCCATTGCTTGTCACTAGAAGCAAGCTATCCTATTTTTTTTTTTTAAGATTTTATTTATTTATTTTTCCCCCAAGGCCCCAGTACATAGTTGTCTGTCATAGCTGCACATCCTTCTAGTTGCTGCATGTGGGACGCGGCCTCAGCATGGCCGGAGGAGTGGTGCCTCGGTGCGCGCCCGGGATCCGAACCCGGGCCGCCGGCAGCGGAGTGCACGCACTTAACCGCTAAGCCACAGGGCCGGCCCGCAAGCTATCCTATTTATGGGACCAGCAATGTTCTTTATTGCCTTGGTTTAGTCACAGTCTTGGGTGGGGATTGGAGAGGTCAGAGATGTTATACATTTTGGGGATCCAGGACCACATAACATTAAAATGAGACAGAAGCTCTCTTCCACTGGCTGTGAACAAAATAGCAGGTGATACTGCCATCTGGTGAGCAATCTGAAGACAAGAGTTCACACAAAAGGACAGAGGTGACAGCATTAAACCAAAGCAAATATAAACCTCCTTGACTGACCCAGACCCAAGTCTTACACTACCTATAACTTTTCATTTATATGAACTGAGAAATACTTTTGGTTTAAGCAACTCTGAGTTACATTTTCTGTCACTTACAACTTAGAGCATCCTAACTGATAAAACCACCATGAGCCTCATGATCTTCCCTTGGAAGTGATGATAGTAAAGAAATGCATTTGAGGGGCCAGCCCTGTGGCTTAGTGGTTAAGTGCACGTGCTCCGCTACTGGCGGCCCGGGTTCAGATCCCGGACGCCCACCGACGCACGGCCTCTCCGGCCATGCTAAGGCCGTGTCCCACATACAGCAACTAGAAGGATGTGCAACTATGACATACAACTATCTACTGGGGCTTTGGGGGAAAAAAAAGGAGGAGGAGGATTGGC